TTGACGTCTCCTTTGTTGCGTCCTTGCCTTCAGCAACCATTGGACCCGTCCCTGCCAAAGATTCATCGATAAAAATTAATGAGAGAAGATGGATTCAAAATTGAAACGTCTTTCAGCATTGGAAAGAAATATACCACTAATCAAATATAAAGATGAAATTAAACTGAGGAAACAGAGAGATACCAATAGCCACAAGGAGCAGGACGAGGATGAAGACAGTTGAAAACATACGTTTGGATCCCTCCATCTTGATTTTTGTGTATGCGTATATGCACGCGTGTGAAACAAAAGAAAGACAGACAGAGGGATGTTGAATGTTGATTCAAGATGCCTTGATTCAAAGGTGAACCTTCCAAGGCCATTTATATAGAGTTGTTATGAAGCAAATTAAGTGCATTTCCGTAAAGGGCGGTACACTGGTGAAAAATAGAGAGTGGATGAAAATTTAACCTTTGTTATTTTTACCTAACACTTAATTAGCCCATTTTATGCGAACATGGATGATAAACCTGAATTAACATATCATATTTTTTTGGTTAACTAAATTAACATGTCATATGGACAACAAATATGAACTTCTAGAAAATCTTTGACCTTCTATTTAACCTTTTTTTTTGTTGGATAGATTCTATTTAACTTTCTAGTATAGGTGATGTGTCAACTCTTCTTTTTTTTAGATGGATGTGTCAACTCTTTAATCATTTGTAATTTGACGCACAAAAGCGCCAAAGAGAATGCTAGCAACCTTCTCTATAACCTTCTCTTTTGGACCTTCTCCCTTCTTCTCATGATATATTTCAATTTCATTACACTTAAAACAATGTCATTAATGCATCACACATACTACTTTTTTTTTCAAATTTACCCTTATTAAATGTATTGGATTTTTCGTTTCCTTCATTTATTATTTATTTTTTAAACTATTTTTACAACCTTGTTGAAAAAATTAAATAAGAAAAAACATCAAAAAAAAAAAAAAAAAATGTGTTTTCTTTTCAAGAGAGCGTTTGTTTTATAAACACAAAAGAATTTAGACCACTATTGATTGATACTTAACCATGCTCGAAGGATGATTCTTTTGCCCTAAAACAGTCAAATTTGTATAAGCTGCACATGTGATGTTTACATAGCCATTGCAATGACCAAATAGAAACAAAGAGAAAATAGGAGTTTCATTTCTCTAGAGAGAAAAAAAAAAAGACATTTTTTTATTTATTTAATTTTTTAACATGGTTGTTGTAAAAAATATATATATATATATATATAAAGACTAGCTTGTTGTAAGTTAAAACAAAAAAATTAATAAATTTAATAAGGGTAAACTTGGAAAATAAAAATTATATTGTGTGATGCATTGATGACATTATTTTAAGTATAAGAAAAGTGACACATGTCATGAGAAAAATGGAGAAGGTCCAAATGAGAAGGTTAGAGAGAAGGTTGTTAGCATTCCCCAAGGGGAAATAGTGTAATAATTTATAATTTGAAGGGTCGTTTTCCTACTTTTTTAAAATACGGAAACCAAACTGTTGCATGCCTCAAATCACAATTAATTAATAATTGGTTGATGAAAGTTTAGAACTAACTGTAGATAATTTCATCAACTCTTTGTGAGTTGGGTGTTTATTTGTGTTTTAGTCTCTACTTGTGAGAGTTAGTTGTCGTTATATTTGTAATTTTGAGCATTTTATTACATGTTTGATTTGCTCAGGCATGTGACTGTTATGTTGAAATGTATTGGTCTTTTAGGGTTACTAGTGGAGATACAAGTTGTACGATGTTGCCGGTGTATTTTCTTATATATGAATTAATCCTTTGCGGTTATTATGCATACATCTTTATATTAACCATTTATGAGTATTTGATATTTGTATCTAATTATTGAATACAATTATCGCTAATTTTCCACACACACAGACACACAAATAAATAAAAATATTTTTAAAAAATTACTGTACATATTCAAGCATTATTAAAATGGACTTGCCCTTTGATTAAAAAACAAACAAAAAGAGGCCCGTTTACTTTAAAGTGCCTCATTTAATTACTTTTCCCCACCCTTTTCTGTATTTGTTGGTAACAAAAGAAAGTTGCTGAAATTATAGCCTCCAACCTAAACTTTATGCCAAAACAATCATGTTCATATATAAGATTTCCATCCAATGCCTTCGTAAAAAGTTTAAAGTAAGGCTAGAAAGATCACATTTGTATAGAGAGAAAAAAATATCATTACATTAAAAAAAGAACGATATTTGTTTTTTGTTTTATTGATTACAAAATAACATAAGAACAAAAACAAGGACACAACCCCAAAATTTATATAAGGTTAGTCATTTATTCTTTTAAACAAAACAAAAAAAGGGCAATAAATTTTCAATCTTCTCAATCCCATGCACCAAAATAAGTTAGTGTGTTATATCACTAACATTTCTTAGTGCATGTACATCCCAGCCTGAAGCCAGGACATTTGCCTCCCAGGAAGCCCTCTTTTTGGCAAGCATCTGCACAACTGCTTGATCGGAAGCAAAATCCCTTGAATTTCGTGCTCAAAGACTCACAAGTCCTTGACGTCTCCTTTGTTGCGACCTTGCCCTCAGCAACCATTGGACCCGTCCCTGCCAAAGATTCATCGATAAAAATTAATGAGAGAAGATGGATTCAAAATTGAAACGTCTTTCAGCATTGGAAAGAAATATACCACTAATCAAATATAAAGATGAAATTAAAATTAGGAAACAGAGAGATACCAATAGCCACAAGGAGCAGGACGAGGATGAAGACAGTTGAAAACATACGTTTGGATCCCTCCATCTTGATTTTTGTGTATGCGTATATGCACGCGTGTGAAACAAAAAGAAAGACAGACAGAGGGATGTTGAATGTTGATTCAAGATGCCTTGATTCAAAGGTGAACCTTCCAAGGCCTTTTATATAGAGTTGTTATGAAGCAAATTAAGTGCATTTCCGTATAGTGCGGTACACTGGTGAAAAATAGAGTGGATGAAAATTTAACCTTTGTTATTTTTACCTAACACGTAATTAGCCCATTTTATGCGGACATGGATGATAAACCTGAATTAACATATCATATTTTTTTTTGTTAACTAAATTAACATGTCATATGGACAACAAATATGAACTTCTAGAAAATCTTTGACCTTCTATTTAACCTTTTTTTTTGTTGGATAGATTCTATTTAACTTTCTAGTATAGGTGATGTGTCAACTCTTCTTTTTTTTAGATGGATGTGTGAACTCTTTAATCATTTGTAATTTGACGCACAAAAGCGCCAAAGAGAATGCTAGCAACCTTCTCTATAACCTTCTCTTTTGGACCTTCTCCCTTCTTCTCATGATATATTTCAATTTCATTACACTTAAAACAATGTCATTAATGCATCACACAGACTACTTTTTTTTTTTCAAATTTACCCTTATTAAATGTATTGGATTTTTCGTTTCCTTCATTTATTTATTTATTTTTTAAACTATTTTTACAACCTTGTTGAAAAAATTAAATAAGAAAAAACATCAAAAAAAAAAAAAAAAAAAAAAAAAATGTTTTTCTTTTCAAGAGAGCGTTTGTTTTATAAACACAAAAGAATTTAGACCACTATTGATTGATACTTAACCATGCTCGAAGGATGATTCTTTTGCCCTAAAACAGTCAAATTTGTATAAGTTGCACATGTGATGTTTACATAGCCATTGCAATGACCAAATAGAAACAAAGAGAAAATAGGAGTTTCATTTCTCTAGAGAGAAAAAAAAAAAAAAAAAAAAATTTTTTTTATTTATTTAATTTTTTAACATGGTTGTTGTAAAAAAAATATATATATATATATATAAAGACTAGCTTGTTGTAAGTTAAAACAAAAAAATTAATAAATTTAATAAGGGTAAACTTGGAAAATAAAAATTATATTGTGTGATGCATTGATGACATTATTTTAAGTATAAGAAAAGTGACACATGTCATGAGAAAAATGAAGAAGGTCCAAATGAGAAGGTTAGAGAGAAGGTTGTTAGCATTCCCCAAGGGGCAATAGTGTAATAATTTATAATTTGAAGGGTCGTTTTCCTACTTTTTTAAAATACGGAAACCAAACTGTTGCATGCCTCAAATCACAATTAATTAATAATTGGTTGATGAGAGTTTAGAACTAACTGTAGATAATTTCATCAACTCTTTGTGAGTTGGGTGTTTATTTGTGTTTTAGTCTCTACTTGTGAGAGTTAGTTGTCGTTATATTTGTAATTTTGAGCATTTTATTACATGTTTGATTTGCTCAGGCATGTGACTATTATGTTGAAATGTATTGGTCTTTTAGGGTTACTAGTGGAGATACAAGTTGTACGATGTTGCCGGTGTATTTTCTTATATATGAATTAATCCTTTGCGGTTATTATGCATACATCTTTATATTAACCATTTATGAGTATTTGATCTTTGTATCTAATTATTGAATACAATTATCGCTCATTTTCCACACACACACACACAAATAAATAAAAAAAATTTAAAAAAATTACTGTACATATTCAAGCATTATTAAAATGGACTTGCCCTTTGATTAAAAAACAAACAAAAAGAGGCCCCTTTATTTTGAAGTGCCTCATTTAATTACTTTTCCCCACCCTTTTCTGTATTTGTTGGTAACAAAAGAAAGTTGCTGAAATCATAGCCTCCAACCTAAACTTTATGCCAAAACAATCATGTTCATATATAAGATTTCCATCCAAGGCCTTGGTAAAAAGTTTAAACTAATGCTAGAAAGATCACATTTGTATAGAGAGAAAAAAATATCATTACATTAAAAAAAGAACGATATTTTTTTTTTGTTTTATTGATTACAAAATAACATAAGAACAAAAACAAAGACACAACCCCAAAATTTATATAGGGTTAGTCATTTATTCTTTTAAACAAAACAAAAAAAGGGCAATAAATTTTCAATCTTCTCAATCCCATGCACCAAAATAAGTTAGTGTGTTATATCACTAACATTTCTTAGTGCATGTACATCCCAGCCTGAAGCCAGGACATTTGCCTCCCAAGAAGCCCTCTTTTTGGCAAGCATCTGCACAGCTGCTTGATCGGAAGCAAAATCCCTTGAATTTCGTGCTCAAAGACTCACAAGTCCTTGACGTCTCCTTTGTTGCGACCTTGCCCTCAGCAACCATTGGACCCGTCCCTGCCAAAGATTCATCGATAAAAATTAATGAGAGAAAATGGATTCAAACTTGAAACATCTTTCAGCATTGGAAAGAAATATACCACTAATCAAATATAAAGATGAAATTAAAATGAGGAAACAGAGAGATACCAATAGCCACAAGGAGCAGGACGAGGATGAAGACAGTTGAAAACATACGTTTGGATCCCTCCATCTTGATTTTTGTGTATGCGTACATGCACTCGTGTGAAACAAAAAGAAAGACAAACAGAGGGATGTTGAATGTTGATTCAAGATGCCTTGATTCAAAGGTGAACCTTCCAAGGCCTTTTATATAGAGTTGTTATGTAGCAAATTAAGTGCATTTCCGTAAAGGGCGGTACATTGGTGAAAAATAGAGAGTGGATGAAAATTTAACCTTTGTTATTTTTAGCTAACACTTAATTAGCCCATTTTATGCGGACATGGATAAACCTGAATTAACATGTCATATGGACAACAAATAAGAACTTATAGAAAATCTTTAACCTTCTATTTAACCTTTTTTTTGTTGGACAGATTCTATTTAACTTTCTAGTATAGGTGATGTGTCAACTCTTTTTTTTATTTAGATGGATGTGTCAACTCTTTAATCATTTGTAATTTGACGCACAAAAGCGCCAAAGAGAATGCTAGCAACCTTCTCTTTTGGACCTTCTCCCTTCTTCTCATGATATGTGTCAATTTCATTACACTTAAAACAATGTCATTAATGCATCACACAGACTACTTTTTGTTTTTCAAATTTACCCTTATTAAATGTATTGGATTTTTCGTTTCCTTCATTTATTTATTTATTTTTTAAACTATTTTTACAACCTTGTTAAAAAAATTAAATAAGAAAAAACGTCAGCTTTTTTTGAAAAAAAAAGTATGTTTTTCTTTTCAAGAGAGCGTTTGTTTTATAAACACAAAAGAATTTAGACCACTATTGATTGATACTTAACCATGCTCGAAGGATGATTCTTTTGCCCTAAAACAGTCAAATTTGTCTAAGGCGGAAGCTGCACATGTGATGTTTACATAGCCATTGCAATGACCAATAGAAACAAAGAGAAAATAGGAGTTTCATTTCTCTAGAGAGAAAAAAAAACAAGACGTTTTTTATTTATTTAATTTTTTAACAAGGTTGTTGTAAAATATATATATATATATATATATATAAAGACTAGCTTGTTGTAAGTTAAAACAAAAAAATTAATAAATTTAATAAGGGTAAACTTGAAAAATAAAAATTATATTGTGTGATGCATTGATGACATTATTTTAAGTATAAGAAAAGTGACACATGTCATGAGAAAAATGGAAAAGGTCCAAATGAAAAGGTTAGAGAAAAGGTTGTTAGCATTCCCCAAGGGGCAATAGTGTAATAATTTATAATTTGAAGGGTCGTTTTCCTACTTTTTTAAAATACGGAAACCAAACTGTTGCATGCCTCAAATCACAATTAGTTAATAATTATGGTTGATGAGAGTTTAGAACTAACTGTAGATAATTTCATCAACTCTTTGTGAGTTGGGTGTTTATTTGTGTTTTAGTCTCTAATTATGAGAGTTAGTTGTAATTATATTTGTAATTTTGAGCATTTTATTACATGTTTGATTTGTTCAGGCATGTGACTATTATGTTGGAATGTATTGGTCTTTTAGGGTTAGTAGTGGAGATACAAGTTGTACGATGTTGCCGGTGTATTTTCTTATATATGAATTAATCCTTTGCGGTTATTATGCATACATCTTTATATTAACCATTTATGAGTATTTGATCTTTGTATCTAATTATTGAATACAATTATCGCTAATTTTCCACACACACACACAAATAAATAAAAAAAATTTAAAAAAATTTAAAAAAATTACTGTACATATTCAAGCATTATTAAGATGGACTTGCCCTTTGATTAAAAAACAAACAAAAAGAGGCCCCTTTATTTTGAATTGCCTCATTTAATTACTTTTCCCCACCCTTTTCTGTATTTGTTGGTAACAAAAGAAAGTTGCTGAAATCATAGCCTCCAACCTAAACTTTATGCCAAAACAATCATGTTCATATATAAGATTTCCATCTATTTCTTCAATTTCCTTTTGGTTTAAAAAGCTTCTGAAATCTTTGTGAGTCGAGACTCGAGTCCAATACAAACATGAATGCAAGCTATAAGTTGCCAGCAAGAATATATTATGTCATTTTATTCGGATATGGTAATTGATTAGCATGCAAGAATTATTGTCAAAATGAATGAAATCATTTTCTTTTGTCTTGACAAAAGACAATTACCAATCGATATGGATACCCAATGTGGAGTCGAATCCACTAGGTGCAGTGACCACCTAACTAGAATTATCACATGCATAATCTTTATATATATTTTTTTAAGAATTATTCTCTTGGCTTTTCATTTTGCTAGTAACGATCCCTAAATTTATACCTAGTTTTATTTTGGTCCTTTAGATCTCGCACGTGTTCCAATTTAGTTATTTCTTCACATTTGGTCAAATTGAGGGGTACAACTAATAATTTGGATACAACAATCCTACAAATAAATAAATAAAAATCAACAATTTTTTATACTGAAATAACTAAATTAGAACACATGTCAGAATTGAAGGACTTAAATGAAACTCGTATAAGTTTAAGGATCGCTGCGGTTAAATCCCAAAACTAAATATCCAGAGAGTAATCTTTATATTTTTGTATAATATCATATGAAGTTTAAATGAAAATAAATTCAAAATTGGGATAAGTAGAGCATCTAGATCCTACGATATGAAGGACCACAATTTCACGAAGTCCTTGTGGGATGAAATCAAAATCTTATTATTAGATTAGTAAACTTGGCTTAATAAAGTTGAATTAAGCCATCAACTTTTTGTGAGTTATTTGTGGTCCTTGTGCTTTGTCTCGTGGTACCTGTGATAAAAGAAGAAATAAAGTAAACCAACCCAAATAAAAAACAAATAAAAAAAGTCAAATAAAAAATGACAATTGACAGTGAGAGAGGTACAAGACGATGCCTTGAGGCCCCTTCCCACATTGAAAGCTCTGATAATTTAGAAAGAATTTAATAAATAAATAAAAGCAGAGGCCATGGGGTTCATGTTTGTGTGGAGGGCAACAAAGCCACGTGAGATCACATTTGCTTTAAGGAGTTTGCCCTTCATATTTTTTTGGTTAGGGCAAAAAGTCATTTTTGGTTCATGTAATTTGTCATTTTTACCATTTTAGTCCCTTTTGTTTCAATTTGATTTATGTCCCTGTAGTTTCAATTCCTACTTTTTTTTTTTCGTCAAATTACTTTAATATGGAGGGACTTTTTAGTCCAATCTTGTATCCCCTCCACAACTACTCCCTAGCCACCTAAGCAACCCTTAATGTAGCTTTTCTTATGCTTTCAAGTCTCAAGTCTCCACTTTATCTTGGGTTAATGATGAGAAGTTTTAGGCAATGCATGTAATTAGTTTTGGAGTTTGATGAGAGAAAGAGATAGTTAGGGGAAAAGGTGGTGGTGGAGGGAGGGAATAAGGTGATTGGGTCGTGGCTATAGGGTAAGGACTGGGTTGAGTTAGGAGGAGGAGGAGGAGGAGGAGGAGGAGGTTGGGTGGGGAGGGGGAGGAGGAATGAGAGAAGGTGGTTGGGTAGGGGGTGCTAGGTTTTTATGGGGGTGGTTGTGGAGGGGCTGTAAATTGGATCGAAATGCCCCTCCATATTATAGTAATTTGACAAAAAATTAGGAATTTTCTTTGAATTGTTCAAAATTAAAACTATAAGGACAAAATTGATCAAATTGAAACTATAAGGATCAAAATGATAAAAATAATAAACTATAGGAACCAAAAAATGACCAAAACCTTTTATTTTATTTTTTATTTTATAACTTTCAACACAAACACCCTCGCCCCCACGAGAAAAAGCCAATTTCTTAAAAAGGGCTTCTAATATAAGCAGATTTTGCGTACTGTATTGCTGGAAAATCACTTTTCTTTTTATTGCTTTTGGGAGTGAATGGTGGGACCCAAAAGAGGCATGAACGAAATATGGTAATTAAGTCACTTAAAGTTAAAGCCCACTTTCATTTAATGATTCCCCTGTCTTGTAGAGGATATATAGAAAGCAATTTCTATTTAGGGAATCCATAAGATTTGGTGCTGCCTTTATTATAAAGATTCTTTGTTACCTCCACTTTTGGCCATGGGCGCCCGCGATCCAATTTGCTTTAATTGTCTTATATCCGAGAAAACAATTATAATCTACAATTCAAATATAAGTGTTTTATTCCTTTGACCCCAAAAAAAGTGTTCCATTCCACTCTTAATTGCATCGAATCAAGTTCAAATTCAACATCTACGAATTCATTGAGCCTAACTCAACCTAGTTATTGAACCTAACTCAACCTAGTTATTGAACCTAGATGGTTAAAGTTGGAACAGTATTTGTACGTAGTTCGGATTGAGAAATGTCGAGAGTGAAGCCATCAAATTCGAATAATTTAGGGATTTTATTTTTCAGTATTAAATAGTTGATCTCAATGTGTATGACGTATATAGTTTAACTCGTTCTAAGATAACAGTTTAGTAGTGTAAAAATCGAATCAAATCGTATCGAATTGACTTGATTTGACCTGTTTGGATAAGTTTTTGTGCACCCCTATCTTTTGCTAAACTTTAGCCAGACACGTTATTATTGCACAAACAGAAAATGTCACCACCAGACAAATGAAATTGTACACATGTTTAGCATATTAAACATGGGCTTTCATGACTGCATCAATACACTGATATTTACAGAGCTTTTGGGCCTCATCAGATGTGGCCTCTGAATTGCAGCTTGCAAGTTACAACAAACGAAGTATGGCAGTATGGCTGCACTGGGAGAAAGACTTCTATGAGATGGGAATAACACTATTTTGTTATCTTCGGCTAATAATGTTATAGCATACGTGATAATACTTTCACGTAACATAGCATTATTGGTCGGGAATGGCAAAACAGTGTTATTCTCATTGCAACTAAATTTTTCTCCTACATTGGACAACTAGTTGGAAGCAAAGCAGTTTTGGTTAATTCTGTCAGCTCCTGGGATCCAGCCCAACATTAGCAAACATTCTGAAAATGCATCCCCATCTGCTAATAGAATGACTGTCACATCAACCAGATTTTCCATTGTCCAGCTGAATATGGTTGAAGGCAACGGTCTCAACCAATTGTAACTGATTCTGCCACATGTAGCCTACTGTTTTCTAATAACTTATCTGAGCCTATTGCATTGTAATAATCTCTTAGCCATGTAAAATTTGTAAATCTTGGTCTCGTTTGGTAGCTCGGTCTAGATTATACTTTTTCAATTAAATTGAACTAATGTTATGGTCGCTATTTAATAAACTAAATAAAAGAGACGATATTTATTAAATTGGACAATAATCCAACATATCATGCATTATAAGTTCACCCTAGAGATATAGGACTTATAAGAGGTGGCTTGGACTCAATTCCAATCATAAATTCCAAGGCCAAAATAAGAACATTGACCACTTGGCACAGGTGAACTTTGAGATACTATTCAACATTAGCCATTAGAAATTCCAACCACCAGAGCAAAAGGAGAATTGCGACAATATGATGAGAATAGGGCAAGAACATGTCTTAAAGAAGAGAAAAAGAAAACAGCCGAAAATTCTCCTCCTCCTAATCCCACCAGAATGTTGTCAACCTCGAATACATGCCTGTCTCCATTGAACTCATCTTCAAACATTAGCATAGCATTCAACTAGAGAACCCATATAATACATCTAACCCATCAAGCTAATGGATTTTCTAATAATCTAATCGACAAAAACCTATATTGAAACACCCATCCGAGACCATTGTCAGCACCAATACCAATTCCAGATGAGCAGTCAGCTAAGTTTCTGTTCTTAACATCGCAATTTAATGCGATCGAGACTCTCTGAAACAGTTTTCATCCTTGGACGCAGTTCAGGGTCGAGTTCAGTGCAATTAAGGGCAATGTGAAAGGCTTCAACAACTTGCTTCTTTGCATAAACCTCTTGCAGAAGTACAGGGTCTAAAATCTCGGACAAGGGGCGCTCATCTCTGAACGTCTTCCTGACTAGACTCTCAAGTCCCTTACCACCATTTTCGAGCCCTTCGTCTGGCAATCTGCCAGTTAAGATCTCCAAGAGCACAACCCCAAAAGAGTACACGTCACATTTCTGAGTGAACTTGCTGCCAGAAATTCGAGCCTCGGGCGCCAAGTAAATGGTTGAGGAAGTTGAAACAGTCAAACCAGAGGCTCCAATGGATTGGCTTGAGTTGTGTTTTCTGGATGCTGAAGTGGTGAACTTTGAGGTCCCCAACATAAGGCGCGCCAATCCGAACCCTGATATGTAAGGTTGGAGATCATCATTGAGAAGGATTTTTGTTGATTTAATGTTTCCATGAACATACTTTCGAGGGCTGTGTTCATGTATGTACATCAATCCCCTCGCGGTCCCCTGAGCAATTTTTAACCTTGCTGTCCATGGTAATAGAGGCAAAGACGTGGATGGTCCCCCTGCAATAATTATATGACCACAAAAGTTTGAGACTATTGCCAACTAAAATGAGCATTTACAAAACTTGGAGGTAAATCTTCGTCAGTTAAATGGTGCATCTTTGAAATATGCATCAAAGGACACAAAATGAGAACAGAATTTGCAAATGAGAAAGAGATTCTGGAAGAAAGGAGATATAATATAAAATTTCTTCTTTTATTTTAACTTGGCAACACAATTTAAAATGTGCATTTCTGAATCAGAATTAACATGCAGTAGATCTGGGCAGGCAATTTTGAATTATAACAACATCAAAACTATTGCTCCAGGCTTTCAGTGGCCTAATTTAAGAGAAAGGCTTTCAGTGTCATTGTGTTCTTAGACGGGACAGCAAAACAGTGCTATCCCCGTTATAAGTAAGTTTTTCTGCTAATTTGCTCGTGATTGCATAGAAAAACTCTGCAACTGTCAGTCATTATGATGAAGTCTTAAAGAACTTTGAATTTAAGCAGACAGATTAGTAGGGGCCACAAGAGTAGCTCTGAAGAGTGAATAAATGTCTGGGTAACATGCATTTCAGCGTACAAGCAGCACAAAGAGCCAACACATATTACAAAACCATACATGTCAACCCAAGTGAATATAAAACCATCACCTCAAAACAACAGCAAAGAAACAAAATCAAAATTATAACGAGGTTACAAGTAAGATATAGGACCATGTATTCACCATTGCTTTGGAAATATTAATTTGGGGTCTTCTGGGGCATCAAGTAATATGAGCAAAAAGAAATCATCGTTATGCATGCATGTGAAGATACAATGATTTCAAATCCAATGGAAAAGACAAAATAAAAAGTGAACTCAAATGCCGTGTAGCAAACATGAAATGATGAATTGCATGTGGCAACCTAAAAGCTTTTTGGGACCCATGATATCATTGTCTGAGTGTTTTATAAGGTAATGAAACCTAATTGATTTACCAATTTGTTGTTTTCTAAAGAACAGCACAAAGCATGGAATGAAATGAAAGATGAAAATAATAGTACAGAAATGTGACATATAAAACATCATAAAACATGCTTTGACTTTGGTATATAACCAACATAAATCAATTTTTTTCTAACTTAAGAAGAACGCGATTAACCAACTAGCACTTGATCTAGTGTACAATTTTTCCCAATATTTACAATATTAAAAGTGTCTAAATTCGAATTCGCCTCTTTTCGAACAAAATAAAAAATAAAAAGACTACCTAAACAAAAAAAACAAAAAAATATTTGAAAAATAAAAAACCCAACAAAGGAAGGAGAATTACCGTGGAGTGCATTGTACAAGCTGCCATTGCGAATGAAATCAGTGACCAGAAGTTTCTCATCATTCGCATAATAGTATGCTCTCAAGCGCACAATATTCGGGTGGACCACCTTCCCTATGGCCTCCACCTCAGCCTCAAACTCCTTGAACCGCCACGTGGCATCACCCTCGCTAAGCCTCCTCACGGCCACAACTGCCGGCGCCGCACCGTATCCCTTCCCAGCACTCCCGGCGACGACCCTGTACGTAATCCCACTCCTGCTCTTCCCCACCACGTACGCCGATGCCCTCAACAAATCCTCTAATTCCAACCCAAACCCCTCGTCTAGCACCACGAATCTACCATTTTGCCCCTCCCCCTCGTCCTCAACAACCACGACCGCCTTTTCCACTTTCTCTCTCACCGTTTTGCCCTCCTTGGCCCTCCTCCTTATCCGAAACAGCCACACCGAAACCGAGACGGCCCCGATCACCACTGAAAGGCCCGAAATGATCGGAACCGTCACAGACCCACCTCTCCGATTTCCTCTTTCCTCGACCCCATTCACCAAGCTCGGGTCGGTGTTGAGAGGCTTTTGAACGTCCTCGGCTCCGCTTTTGGAGGCGTTTGGGTTTTGAGCTTCCGGGCAAGGAATCTCCAACGGAAACCCGCAGAGGCTAGGGTTGCCGGAGAACGCGGTGGGGCCTTGGTTCACAAGCGATCCCACCTGAGGCACTTTTCCGCTGAGATTGTTGTGCCGGAGGTCCAGGCTCACGAGCACCGGAAGCCGTCCGTATGACGCCGGAACCTCGCCGGAAAATTTGTTGTACGAGAGGTTAAGGGTTCCGGCGAGGGACGGGAGCTCGGCGAGAGACTCGGGGAGGGAGCCGTTGAGGAAATTAGAAGACAAATCGAGGTGTTTTAGGGCTTTGAGGGCTTCAATTTGGGGCGGAACTGGGCCGACGAAGGAGTTTCGAGAGAGGTCCAGAGAAATGAGGTTGGTGGCGTTGAAGAGGTGGGCCGGGATGAGCTTGGAGAAGTTGTTTCTGGACAGACTGAGTCGCTTGAGCGAGTCGAGGTGGCCGAGTTCGGAGGGAATGTAGCCGGAGAAGCCTTTGTCGCTGAGTAAGAGGTCAGTGACTCGGTTGCGGGTGCAAACGACGCCGTGCCAGTGGCAGGGGGTCGGGTCGGAGTCGAACCAGGAGTCGAGGACGCGAGTGGGGTCAGTTTCGATTGCGGATTTGAGGGCGAGGAGGGAGAGACCATCTGGGTTGAGACAGAGCACAACTTCAGCAATGAGAAGAAGCAAAGCAATGTGTAGAAAAAGAAGCATCTTTATTTATGTAATTGTTGGGAAATTAAAAAATGCCAGTGTGTCTCTCTCTACTGGTTCAGCTGAGTGATTACAGAGAAGGAGGAAGAAGAAGAAGTGGGTGAGTTTGAATTGTGGAGAGTAGTTTGGTTTGGTTGGGGGGGAGAACTCGAGGAGGTTTGAATTTTGTCTGAGCAGTTAGGCTGTTTATGCACTGAGAGACTGAGCAAATCCCCGTAATCTTTAATCTAATTTGCTTATTTTTATACAATATTTTGGTCACTTATGAAGCTTGGATTATTTTGAATTGGTTTGACATGCAGGTCGTGACAATTTCTAATCCTTTTATAACAAAAAAACAAAACGTGATTAAAGTTTGTTAATTCAAAACAAAACAAGCACCAACCTGAATTTTAGATTGATTGCTTATTATATAAACCAACCGAAATGGATAATTGAATCTGTTTTTCTTTCGTACTGTTCTTATTATTATGGCCTTTATTTTATTTTCAAAACCACATGATGGCATGGCACCCACTTTGTCCATTTTCCTCGAATTCAAATTCATAGTCACAACACTAAAAAAAATATTGGAAAATGGTCTTGACTTGCAGTTCAGGAGTCTCAGGTTCGAACTCTCATGATATCTTGATAATGTGTGTGAAAAACTCATATCGTCTAGTTTCGACTATTGTTTATACTAAAAAAAAACACGAGACAAAAGAATGCAGTAATTTATGTACACATAGTTTCCGATCTTCACACTCCAAAATGGAAAACATCCTGTGATATTAATTGTAAAAAGGGCATTTCAAATTGACCACAAATTTTCTTAGAAAGAAATTGATATACATAATTACGTTGAACAATTTTATGTTCACCTGGTATTTCTACCATGGTACTACTAGCCAACAAATTTCCCAAATTTTTTTTTGTGAGGACTGGATTGTAATTTAGTGAGGGTGTCAGGAAATCATTTGACAAGGACACAATTTTACACATGCAGGTGCAACCATGCTTGCTTGTGACTACTTTTCAGTGTCCACTAACCAAGGCTATTTATGTAAAGTCCATCCGAAGTTTTGAGATTCAAATTGATAGTGGGATTTTGTAGCTTCCTTCCACGCACTGTTTTTGTGTATCCGCCCCTTTGTTTTATACGACGAGACAAAAACACAAAGGTCTCAAACAGTTTTCCTCTACATACTAGATCTTAATTATTTTGTCCTTCAAACCCAAGTTCATTTATTATTTAACCCTTGTTTTAACCTCGATTTATTTTACCATTATTTTTCTCGAGTTATTTTTTTATATGTTATCTTTTTCCTTTTATGAACATTTTCACTTGAAAAAAGAAAATCAAATTCAGAAAACAAATTTATTTCATGAACATGGCATCAGTTGTGTGTTTGTGTCAGAAACTCCCTTCATGTAGTTTAGATTATCGCTTATTTTAAAAATAAAAAAAATTAAAAAGGTAGGAGATTGAAAAAAATTTGAATTACAAAGCATCTTCAATATATGAGCTTCTATAATGAGGGGTTTAATCTGATCGTCTAATGATAGCTTCGCAATTGATCTGATAGCTATTAAGGACCCGGGAGAAGTTACAATGAGGAGTTTCAAGTGAGGAGGCTATTAGAGGGGACCCGACTATCAAAACATTTAAAATATTTAAGTCCCATGATTGCTTTACATTTGTTGATGGTGAAATTAACCTCCTCAAATAGCCTCCTCACTTTAAACTCATTATTATAGCATCTCCATTAAGGACCCCCCCATTATAACCACTCACTATAATCCATTATTACAGTATCTGCTTAGATACTCAGCACGAAGCCATTTCCACGTGGGTTGGGCTTCAAAATCCTTAGGCTCCGCCATTTATTATAGACCAAATCCACTCTAGGATTTGGACCGGGCTTGTAACATATCTCATAGTTTGGCCTCCTCCTATGCATGCATTGGGTTGTGTTGAGGCCTCGCCTCCCCGAACCAAGACCGGTTTTTAACCCCAATTTTAATATGTTTTAATTTAATATATATATCTATATAAAGCAAAATGCAGAGAATTATGAAACATTCAAAATACCAGAAAATGCCATTGGTTAATTCAAATATTAAAAATTGAAATTATTAATTAAATTAGGATAATATGGTAAATTCACTTTTTTAATATTAAAAAAATTAAAATTAAAAACAAAATCAAATAATAAGTCATACTTTTATGAAACATAACTACCCACGTTATCTTTTCTTAATTCTAAAAATAAAATAAAAAGTAAAAAAAGAAACTAATTGGTGCCAATGGGCTAGTATATATAAAGCAAAAGACAGAAAATGGTGAAACATTCAAAATATCAGAAAATATTTTTGTTAATGCAAACATTAAGAATTAAAATTATTAATTAAATAATGATAATATGGTAAATTCACACTTTTTCATATTAAAAAAATTATTTAAAAAAAAGAAAAAAAGATAATAGATTCTATTTTTATGGAACACAATTACCCATTATCTTTTTTAATTTGAAAATATTTTTATTTTTATTTTTTGAAAAATGTCTCTCGCAGGAGCGAAAACGCGTGCGGAGAGACTAGTATATATATACAGAGAGCTTCCATTGAGGGATTCCTAAAATAAGCTTATTTGAGGGACACCCCTTGTAGGGCACACTCCGGATTGTATTTCACTAATCCAAACCGTCTACTTTGTAGATACTCATTCAAAGATCATCTCTACAAAAAATCACTTGAATCCGATATCATTTGACCATTCAATTGAGTTATTGAAATTTTAATACTTTCTTGAAGCACCGTGTTCATTGATTTTGTATGATACATTGGATGTCGAAATAGCTTCCAATTTGTCTAATTTTTGTAAGGATGATCTATGAATGAAGACCTAAAAAATATATGATTTGGATCATTGGAGAAAAAATTGTAGGATACCATAAAGGGCGTCCCTATATATATATATATATATATATATATATATATATATAAACATATATACTCACTCTAGTACAAAATATGCATACATTTTCGGATGATTAAGTAGTCACCCAGCATCCATTGTACACCCAGCGAAAACAAGTACTCCTCATACCCTAGTCTAGACGTTTTGAACACCCCATCCTTTCTTTGCATTATTTTTCTTAGTTGCAACTCTGCAGGGTAAGTAACTTGTTTAGTAATTTGCTTAGTTTTGGAATGAATCAACATATTGTCCTTATCGAATGAAAGTAATGTTAACATTGTAAAATAGGTGCCAGTGGAGTGTAGCTCAATTAGTTAAGCTCTTCCACCTCCATCCATCTGGGCAGAAGTTCAAAAATCCTAGGCACCCAATGAATATTTGTGTAAACCCCATTTTCCCCCAATTGCTTGTGTTTGAAAAAAAATAATAATTGTAAAATAGGTTGGTGTTGGGTCGAGCCCATGGGCTGAGTTTGCAAAATCGATAAAGCTGGGCAACCCAAACCTAGCCCGAACTCGTCTCAGGTTGGGTTAATTTGTTTTGAAACCCGAACTTTCATTTGGAAAAGCTAAAAAACAGTGCTACCAAGCTAATGGGTGAAATACCATAAATTACTTGTGGACGCTGCCAATCTGCAAGTGAAAAACATTTTTAGCAGCCCTACCTCACATCATAAAAGAAAACAAAAACCAAAACTGAAATTCTACAATCCCCTAAAGCATGAGAATGATGATTAACAGGTATAGCATTAGGCACTCGTTCGTCGACAAAAATGTTGTACCAAAGTTGAACACATCGCATTCAACCATCCATCTGTAAATCAGCAAAAAAATTGTTTGAACTGCCCGAAACATGATCTTTGCTTGCATTTTTCCTCTTTGTCCCTGCAAAGATTGTAACATCAATTCATTACAACCCAGAAGAATGCTTTCAATAATATGATAGTGTCACTGGTTTTGAGCCACAACATAATCAAATATTTGATCCATGCTTTATTCCTTTAGGCACTCAGCATGCAAAAGGCACAAGTTAGTAGGCTCTGACCGCTGTGGTTTTACACAGCAGTTGGAAACACTCAGACTAAATTGCTTGCCCTGGACTGAATTTGCTCTCTGAATTGAATGAGTACTTTGAATTTGCTTTTCTTGAGCTATAGAAGTAGTGGCCAACCTAACCGCCTGGACCAGTAGCCTGCAAAGAACCTCTTTTTTTTTCTTTCCTCAAACCAATTAGAAAGACGGGATAATTCTGATTTTAAAAAGGAGTCCAGGAAAATCTTATTTTATTAGATCCTTATGAAAGATTTAAAAACTGTTTACTTTGTTTAAAAAGATTCTGATCAATTTAGTTTTTCTAAGAAAGCGGCCACAAAGTGAGACCCAACATGATGCAAAAGAATCAATCATTTGCCAGTTATGTTAGCTTAAAAATCTCTAATTAATGTGATGGGCATAGATGAAAGCTTAAGGGTAGTTCTTCCTAAAACTCACGACTGTCCAGAGCAAGGGCATCTATGGAGGATGCAAGATAGTTTTTTTATATTAAATAAGAGTAAATACCTTTCTTAGACTTTGGAGGATTATTATCCATATCCATCTCATCACTATCACTGTCTTCCACAGCTGCTTGATGCTTTAAAGTCTTTGTAGAATCTTGCAATAAGTCATCCATATCCCATAGCTGCATGAAACAATTGTCAAGAGTGAAATCATAAAACCACTAAGAATACATATCACCAGAAAGTATGTTGAAAACTATTACACATAGAGTTAAAAACTTTGTAAGCAAGAAGCCATAAAGGTGACTAAGAGATAAAAGGAATGTATTAAAGAAACAAGGTTACTTCACAATTCTTTACTTCTCAGGCTACAGAATATAAGCAAAGTTGAGAGAGAGAGAGAGAGAGACCTTCAACATCTGATCATGTGCTATACTCCCCAGAAACTTTTTATCATGGGAAAAGGCTACAAAACCAAACAAGACAGCTTGTCAAAAACCACAGCCTAAGGAGATAAGTTGCAGATTCAAGGAGAGACCTACAAGGCTAGAGTATAAATTTAATAAATATATAAAACAGATAAGAAAACTTGATTTTTGGTTGATGTTAAAGATTCAACAATGAGGCCATAGTCAACTAAGATCATCAATAGACCATACATGTTAAAAAGCACTACTTGTACGGTCGTTATAAATGTGTCTATCACCATAATGGCTTTTCTGTGAATAATTATCTGTTAGAAAAACCTCAATCTTCCTCAAAACAACGAGAAAAATGGAATAAAGAAAACACTTTGATTACTCAATCCTCTAGAAATGAAAAGAATGCATTACCAAGACCCTCAACAGGATATTCTGAGTGCTCTGCAATTGGTTGGATGACTCTGTTGGGTAATATACCTACTAGGCTGAAAGAAATTTTTTGGAAATTAATCTTAATGCTAAAAAAGTTAATAAAAACAATGAAATTATAATTAATTGATCTGCATGAAATTTCACCTGATAAGTCCAGTCTCAGATCCAGTGATCAACCTATCTTCATCAAGCTGACACAAGAAATTTAAAAATGCTTCAACAAACAAACTCTTAGACGAATTAAATTCCAACAGAGGTAAAATAGATATATGACCTACTCACCTTCAGCAAAACATCAACAGAATTTGGAGAGAGATCAACAAACCGATCACTGGAATTCAAAGGGTCATTCATAAGGGAAAATCAGTGGTGGGGGGGGGGGGGGAGAGAGGAGCTATATAATTGAAAGTCTTTCTATCATGATTAAAGACAAAATATCTAACAAACTTGGTTATCCATCAATTGCAATTTTCAGTTTTTCATACATGGTTAAAAATTATAATAATATACCTGCAATCATTGAAACAGCCCCATGAATACAATAATAGATTCCCAATGTGTGAGCTGCAAACAACTTTCCGACCATTCTGACCACATGAAAAAAATGAAAAAGACGCTTGATTATAAAAAAAAAAGTAATAAATAAAAAGAGAGAAGAAAAGCAAGAGGGAAATTTATATGATTTTGATGAAACCATAAAATTACTAGAAGAGCTTAAAGAGAAAGGAGAAAGCAATGCAACCTTCATGATAACCACAGACAGTAGCTCCTCTTCTGAAAATTCAGATTGAGCTTGGACCTGTCATAACCGTAGAACCAACAAGTTAAATTAAAAATGTTTTAGGAATCTACTATGAGCGTTGAGCTTGTAACTTATGACAGTTTCAGGAAAGAAAAACCCTTACTTTATTTCTTCGAAGATTGCAAACAGAAAGAGTCCCGTCTCCACTTAACAATGCAAAAGAATAAATATAAATAAACAACTTTTGATGGTATTGCATTTGCAGAGTAAAGGGAATACCAAAAAAATAAAAGGGCAAGTAGGGAATACCTAGTTCCCAGGAGTTTCATGGAATCGGCTGCAAAAGTCATATCAGAAATGTACTCTTCATGAACTTTGAAAGAATTGCAGCAAGATTGTTGCCTGGTATCCCACACCTGCACAATAATAAAAAACGTCAAACAAATGAAAAAAAAAACAGTAAAAACAACAGAAAAGGAAGCACAAGTAACACAAAAAGACCTTAATACAGCCTTCGTCGTCTCCAGAGGCAACTGTGGACTCCGTCAAGTTGATAAGCTTATTGACTGCACACCTGCATTAAGGTAGTGTTCAGATTATGACCAAAATGAGCATCCTTGAGAATTGACTGATAACAGAGCAAAGAGATACCCATGAGCATCTTCGAGGCGAGCAACAGCAGCACCAGTTTCCACATCAGTTGCAAGAATTGAGCAGTCGGGAGACCCCGTCAAAATGGCTAATATCATCAATCAGTAGCTTCTTATTAGCACAACTAGTTATGGTACAATAACAATATCAAACAACTAACACTTAAGAATACCGTGGCCATTGTTGATGAACCGAGCAGATCTGCAAGATTCACTGTGTGCTTGAACTTGCAACACCCTAATATCATCATCATCTTATATAAGAACTCAAACGAGTAATAGAGAAAAAAAAAAAAAAAAAAAAAAAAAAAAAAAAAAAAAAGAAACAAAACTTCAGAAAATATTCAGGTATCGTCCGTTCACTCAGGTCGGGAGGATGATCAGTATCTGATGTACAAATGAAGGAGGGTTACAAATAAAATGAAGTTGATTCCAGTTTCTCCGTTGTGTACCACTGCTGTGATGGATGAAAATCAATGTCAAACGCCAATTGCCCCAAATTTATCTCCATTCCTTTATCACTTCCCCCTTTCTTTCTCACTTTACGCAGCGAATAACTGGTGCCTACTTCATGCACGCACTTATTTCTCTAGGCTTGTACGACGGTTGGTAGGTTTTTCAATATAACCCAATCCGACCTTAGACTAGATGATTCGTTTTCTTGCTACAAAAAAACATATAAAAAGATTAAAAATTTCCATTCAAACCAATCCAGTTTTTCAGAGCAATATAAACATTAACCATTAAACTTACAGACGAAATCAAATAGAACATGTTTAAACTGAATCACGGCAAAAACAGAGAGCTTAGTGAAGCTGGAAATTTCCAAATTCAACATAAATAATCAAATAAAAAGCCAGGGCAGTCATTTCAACCAGGTCAAATTTGGGACTCAACCCTCACACACATTATCTAGACAGCTCAAACATGAAAAAGTAAATAACGATATATCAAATTAATGCCAATCAACTACAGCCGATGCATTTCGTTTAATTTAATACTAAAACTCAAAGAAAAGTAAAAAGAAAATAATTACCGAGCAAGATGATGACTGAGATAGAAGGAAGGGTGAGACTCAGAGATGGAGGGAAGACCACAAATTGAGCAGCGGCAGCAGAGAAAGAGGAAGAGGGGTTTTAGGGAGGTTAAGGCACAAGTTGAAATAAACTCGTTATATTTTGTACCCGGAAAAAAGACTCGTTATAATTCGGTTTGGGCTCTCTGTTTGGAGGCCCAGATTCTCAGATTATTTGGAGGCCCAGATTCCCAGAAAATTTAGAGTCGGAATTGGCCTTGTGTAGGCTAGGCCGGGCGACCTAAACCTCATACCGGAAACCCTAAATCTTAAATTCTAAACTCGAATACTTGAGAAAAAAAATATTAAAAAAAAAAGGAAGATGCACCCCGAATCCTAAACCCGTATACCTTTAAAAAAAAAGAGGAAAAAATAAAGAAAAAAAAGAAGAAGAGAAAATGGAAGATACACCCGTGAAAAGTAGTATTTCTCATACCAGAGCCGGTCCATTGATTTTGGAGGTCCTGTGCAAATATGGATGTCGAGGCCCTATGTATACAAGTAGGAAAAAAAAAATCATATAGAAACAAAATTTCTGACACGGGAATAACACATTCGGAAAGAGTTTCCCAGAAAAATTTCTTTAGTCACCCTTCCAAATCACATAGCTGATAAATTGATTTTCCAATTTCAATGCTTGGTGAATTCTTATGTGAATAAGGGAGGGAGAAAAGAACTGTGATTTTCGGGAAAGGGCTAAAGCTTGGTTTTTATAATCCAAAATTTGATGGAAGAGGGTGGTACATTGGTACTGAAGAGAAATGACTTTATTTTGATGGAGGAGAGTGAGAAAGACTTACTGAAAGAGAAAAGAATATTAGAATGGTTTTGCAGCTTGAGAGTTGGGAAGAGGAAAACACAGGTTTCAAACTGTTGAGGCCCAAAAATCCAAGGGGCTAAGCCCAAATTAATCCTTAGCCCAATATGGGAAATTGGATGCAAAATAAGCTCAATCGGGATAAAAGGAAATTTATAAGAGCCGCTAACACAAGCTACAAGCCACGAATCATGCTAAACAAGCACGTGCAGAAGGAGCCAAGGACATACCGATATTACTAAATCACGCTCACATGCTCATTCGGTGCTACTTGGCCCGACTCTAGCCTATCATGGCATAATAAAACCCCAAGCACGAGCATAGAAATCATGCGCATTCTAATACCAAGCTACGTCACGAGCTTAAGTGGGCCCAAGCCACAAAGTTAACCGGGGCTTACTGAGAAGGTTGTGGTATGGAAGGTGACAAGCAATCACGGGGCCCATTGAGGGTTCAAGGAACGTAGGTTTCAAAGCCACTTGGGGGCTTTGGAACTCAAGCCCGTTCCTAGAACCCAAGCATATGGGTTAGCATAAGAGAGAGGAGAAAAATTGACCCATGCTCTAGGAAGACACCAAAGAACCCACCAAGATATTTAGCCCAGCCCACATCAATAAGAATTAAAAGGGAAAGCCTTTCCAGCAGCTTGACGAAAGCCTGCCAAACGTTAGAAGCAACAAAGCCAGAGGACCCAATACCATATGTACAAGCCCAAGCCCAGCAACTTACAAAAATCTGGCGTCAAGTCCTATGCCCGTTTAAATTTCAAACAATGGTCATAAGGGAGCCATGGCAAGACCAGGGGAAATCCATGGGGGTGAGGGAAGTGTCCATCAGACAAAAGGCTCCATCTCTCCCCTTTTCCTCTGTAAGCTCTGCCTTGGAGAAAACATAAGGAAAAGCAGGTGGCGCCTTCCCCTCTATGGGAAAGCCCAGCTGCGTTAAACCGTTGGAACCATAAAGGGTTCCTTACCCATGCTCCTTGGATGGAGAAATTCATCAAAATAGGGCTAAGTAGGAGCTGCCAAGGAAAAAGGAAGAAGAAAACCAGACGAAATTGGAGCTCCTAAACGCCTATAAAAGGAGACTTTTGCTACCCAGAAAAGACATCCACAACTCAACGATCCAGACCTTGACCAAGCTTTGTCAAGCAAATCTGGAATTTTCTCAAGCCACCCAAACCTCTTTTCTGTTCATCTTTCTTCTTCTTAGGATAGGGCTCGCACTGATATTTCTTTCGTAGGAAACCCACACTCTTTTCTCTCTCTCAAATTGCTAAACTTGTGAAAGCTTAGCTCCCATGCCACATGCTCCTCAAGCTAAGCCATTAATGAAATCCTCATGCTTATTTGGGTGTTAGTGAAGTGATCCTGAGAGTGTTCTTTTAAAATCTCATTAGATTTTCTAAAAACTCTCTTGGGAGCTTGTTTTTCGAACTCAGGCATTTGGGGGATTTTGCTCGTTGTCTTCTTACAGCAGCCCAGGCCCATTCGTCAGGCTGCTGGAACAAAAAACCCCCTACACAAACCATAATAAATAAATAAAAGAAGAGTTGTAGCATGAGAGTAAAATGAATTAAATTAGGGCATCTACTCTCTAAGTCGTAGAATTTGTTAATAATTAATATTCAATTCAATTTTGGTTTTGGTGCCTTGCATGTGGTGTTGTGGGGTGATTTAATATTTCACTTTTATTTTCATGTTTTAGTTAATTTAATGGGTTGACTTGGAAAAATTTGGAGGCCCCTAAATTTTGGGAGCCCTGTGCAGTTGCACACCTTGCACACCCCATTGGCCACCTCTGTCTCATACCATGGTCTCAGTAGGAACTTTGCCCAATTCCCTTAATTTGAAGTTTCAACAATTTTTTTTTTTTTTTTTTTTTTTTTTTTTTTTTTTTTTTTTTGTGTGGGGAAATTTGATGCATTCACCCCTGAGAATTATTATTATTTATTTATTTATCATGTCTATTCAAATCTGCTTTATCTGGCATGGGTATGATGATGAAATCTATGAGATAGGTTCTTTTGTTAATGTGTGTAAATGTGGTGCAAAAGTCTAATGACAATGAGAAATGTATTTCACTACAGTGCAGTAATGTAGAAAAAGAGTGGAATATAAATCTAGTACAAAATTGTATTAACAATCATGAAAAGTAAAGTTTTTCAAAGTCTCGTTTAAAACCAAGAAAAGAAGTCCTTCAGTACAACATAAGAAACACATATACATGGTGTTGAGTTGGATATTATTATTTCAAAGATTTTGTTCATCCTACTTTTTGTCAAATACATCATGCAGCATATGCTAAAGCCTAGATCTACCACCATTCTTTCCGGGAATACGCAAGGCATCGTAATGGCCAAACCCATGGTAGAGAACTTTGATAGGATTTTCCTTGCCATATTCTTGTCCATACTCAGCAATGGTTATCAACCCACCAGCCTTTTCATCATACATGTACACTGTGATTGGCATCCTGCAGTGATCAAGGGTTACATCATTTCAATGCCCAACAATAAAAAAAAACATGTGATATAACAATAATTGTATAAAGGGTAAACTACGTTTTGTATGGTTATAGGGTTTTTACTATATCAACATTTCTATAATTACACTAGCACACACACGCACACGCACATATGAAGAGACGACTTACTTGAGAACATGTGAAGCCATGAACAATTCAGGCTCACCTCCCCATACATGTGGCCTTCTTATTTGGGAAACATATGTGTCAAAATCACCTTCAACAAACCTGTATAAAGACATCAAATACAAGTCCATCAACAAATTTTTTGAAAAATGTCCTCATAAGATCACTGTCAATTGGGCAAGATGAATGTCACGTCTGGTCCTACAACTACAAGCTATCCGATTCTGAAGTAACTAAGTCACCCACCCATACATAGGCACAACTAACTTAAAAAATTATGCAACTTAAGTTGTTGGCCAAGCACAAAACCACCATGAGGTCCATCCTGAAGGAAGTTGAGGTTCCACCCCAAAACCAATTGGCAATGGGGGGAGTAGCCCAACTCTTTATAAGCCCTTGCTAGGTTTATCAACTTTCTAATGTGGGACTTTTTACCTTCACATTCTCACACGTCCCCGCACGTGTGGCAAATTTTCAAGCCTAGCACGTGAACAACACATATTGGGTGACGTGGAGCACGTGTGACCGTTGGGCTTTCACACGTGGGCTAACCCGTTCTGATATCATGAAGAAAGTTGAGGTTCCACCCCAAAACCAATTGGCAATGGGGGGAAGTAGCCAACTCCTTATGCCCTTGCTAGGTTTATCAACTTTCCAATGTGAGACTTTTTACCTTCACATTCTCACAGATCCACGGGTCTTCACCACATAAGTAAGGATTATTCATTTGGAACTTGCTTCCATGATTTGCTTCATATATTAATTACCAATGGGAAAAATAGAAGAGGGGCAGAAAGAAAGGGAGGGAAAAAAAGAGAATAAAAAGAGGGAGAGGGACAAAGAAGAACAAGACCCCGGGGGGCGGGGGGCAATCTAGGGTTTTAATATTTCTATGTCTAAAGGAGTTACATCTTAGCTCAGGAAGCATCTAGGGTTTCAATATTTCATTATCTAAAGGCATTACATCTTAGCTCGTTTATATATGTCAATCCAAGAATCAACTCAAACTAAGTCCCTAATCCCATCACTTTACCCAATCAAATCCATAAGATTGTGAGTTGCCCATCATCTATAATCCTCCCTATATCCTTATTCAAGATTATGACACACAATTCTTTTAGTATAATATAAGAAAATGTGATTGAGCATACAAGGTTGTCAAAATGTTTGTTGTTCTCACAATCAGAAAACTCACCATTCTGTCTCTTCCCTCCTTTTGATAAACTCATCTGCAACCTAAAAATTTGACAAGCCAACAAATCAGGGGCCTGTTAACGCAAATTATTGCAAATAATGTGAACGGCATTACATTTCCCTATACCCCATGTGCCTCCTTTGTGAAGACATGCACTAAATTAGACAATATATTATCAAGATTCTATAATTATTTTTTAGGCCTAGGCTTTGGCTTAGAAAGTGCATGGGCAGGTCCAGCAGGGTGGGTGGGAAGAGGTAAAAAGCTCGAATATTATGTATACAAGCGAGGTTTAGAGTAGGGAAACCAAAAATTAAAAGCAACTCTACCCAATGAATGAATTATAAAAACAATCGCCATTTCTTTTTTTCTTTCTTTTAAAGAATGAAAGAAAATTTGAACTCACTACCATGATAATAGAAAACAAAGACATACCCGAGCTCTCAAGTCATCTGCTAATTCTCTCTGAAGGCTCTCTGCAGGAGCTGCTTTCCCAGCTCGTAAATAAGCCCCATGAGCAACAGAGCAGAATAAGCACCTCCCATCTCCAGGTATTCCTGCGGATGTGGAGAAGTTAAACTAGTATCAAATATAGAAGCATTTAAACACCAGTTACAAATTACAGTTTTCATTATCAATAAAAGACATTACGAAAACTAGGAAGACCATGTGCTCACCAATAATAGAGTAGTCAGTGTAAACTTTTTTTCCACGTGAGAATTTCACATATGAATCATTGTCATCTTCCTCATCCTCCCTGTGAGCTGCTTCAGCATGTGCTGGTCCTGAACAATTACAGACCAACAATCCAAATATTAAACCAGCAGAGGCACATCCCCGTGGCCAAGATACTGGGCCTACATTACACTTGATTTTGGGAAGCATTCCTTGTCTTGGAACCAAAAGCCTGGTATTCATACCACGACATGCCAATGATATTTCAAGACTTCCTTTATTAGGTCCTCCAGCATTAACTGTTAATGACCGTGAATCCTTGGAGAAGAAAAACCTAAAACAGTTTCCATGGGATGTTTGGCCAATATTGGTTGGACGATTCTTGGAGAGAGGCAAACTGAAAATTTTTGTCTCTGTTTTCCCTGTCTGCAGACCTTTACAACATGAACTGGATGCTCCTCGTGACACCACACTACAGATCTTACTCCCCATCTGTATTTGGGTACAGCCACTCAGGCAGACCACATTCTTTGGAGAATGGTTGATGCGAGGACAGACAATCGTGTCAACAAAACCTAAGGCACAAGAAGAATGCCATTTGCACATTAGCATCATTTCATAATTGAATGGAAACCTATCCATTTACAGAACTACTACTTTTACAATTTAAATCAATCTAGAAAGGCAGAGGAGAGTTAAATATCAGCAACATAAAAAGCCCAACATCCAAAGGTTTTTTATTATTTAGGACTGCACACACTTCTTTTATTAAATGGGTAAAGGCTTACTCAGTCAAGCTTCTACAAGAATTTTATTGTTATTATTTTTAATCTTTTACAAGAATCATGGAGACATTCGCCTATATGAGAATAGATTCTACGTAAATTGCAAGACACCTGGCTATTGTCAATTGACAGTTTCATCTCTGCATATTATCAATGTTTCTCTTAAGGCCAGAACTTTAGTATCAAAAAATCTCAGGTTGAATGAGAATAAGGATATTTAGCATTTGGTTCTTGTGAAAACCAGAAGACCAGCGAAATAATAAATTAAATTGCGGCTCTGTTGTCTCAATTATCAACCCAATGCTCTAAACTCTCAGTATAATTAGGTTTGTTAACCCCAACAACGGAAGCCAATGACAAATAAGAAGAAATAAATACATAAAAAAGAAGCAATGAAACCAAAGTTATGTAAAACATCAAATTACCTTGATAATCAAGATTTACCTTCATGCCATTTCACATCAACAGAGATCCTCCCTACCAGTTAAATACGTGTTATAGAAAGAAAAAAAATGGGTAAAGGATTTTCAAACATGAATTAAATATGAAATATAAGCTACTAAACAATCAGTGAACAATCAGTGAGACATCAGTCGAGAAACACACAAGGGATAAGTCATTATGCTTATGTACCAGCTTAACTTCTGAACTAACATTTCTCTTGTAAATCAATTCCTAACACTAAGTTAGAAACTCCTATTGACCCAATTTTTGAGCCTTTAGCAATGACAGTTTTCACACCAAAACAACAACCCGCTTGTAAAGAACCTGGGACAAGCATAACACTATCCGTCCTGTATGCGTTGGCCTATTCCCACCACTAGAAAGCCTAACACATGGACTGGGAGGTTGCAATTGCAAGATTTGAACACCTGAACGCTGCTTCAGTTCCATGACAAAGTTTTTCAGTTCATAGCTGTTCCCAACAATTAAACTTCTAGGATGCACGCCAACTATTCCTAATGTTTAGAAGCTATGCATAAATCTAAATGACAATATATGACAAGTCTCCAATCTACATATCTTCTGCTCCTCTCTTAAATACACTACTATGAGTCAGCAAATTCCAGTTTTTTTTAGTGAAATTAGAAACTACCCTCATTTCAATCATAATAAACAAATAAATTTATAGGCTAAGCAATATACGGGCATAACGTAAAATAAAAATTCAGTGCTCATAACAATATTCATACACATAATACAACAAACACAAGTGAAGGCACTCGAAACCCCCACAGCCCACATCTCATATCCTAATAAGAATAACCAAGCATTCTCTGTTCCATCAATAAAAAAATACTCTCAACTATGGAAATTAGAAATCACCAGGCAAAATCCTCTAAAATCTCACCAACCAATCCTACAAGCCAACATTATGCAAGTCTACATTTGCAATTAAGGCAGCCAACAAACACTTGTCCTCAGTCAATCACCATAGCCCGTAACCCAACATACAGACACTCATGAAAATCAAGAGTTTTTTAAAATATAAAAAAAACCCAAATTTATATTGTTCATATAAGCTTCAAATTGCAATTAGTTTTGGAGGAACCTGAGGCTGAAGGCAAAAAATGCAAGATGGTAAACACACAACAAGAAGAAAACAAAATGCTTATATTGTGAGGAAGGATTTGAATAAATAAAATAAAAACTGGAAGGCAATACCTGTGGAAATTGGAACTCAACTGCATAAAGAAGAAAATTATTTTAGAGCAAAGCTTTATATAGATAGAAATATAATAAGTATATGAGAATTCTCTGGAAGAGAAAGGAAGGGTCTGGAAGCAAAGAATACCTGCATCAAAATCACGTTTCAGTGCAGCAGAGCAATGAAACCCCCAAAACAAAGAAAAGACATTACGCAATGAAGAAGCAATGGATATATAGGTAAGAAATTGTTCCTAAAGGTTTTTGCTTCTTCTTTTGTGCTTATAATCCGTAAGCTTCTTCTACGCTTTGTGTCATTCAAGTTTGCTTAATCCTGTGCTACTTGTCACTTCTCATCTCAGTTGTGTTTCTCTTTAGAGATCCTAAACGGGTCGGATCTGACTTCTTGGGCTGATTGTAGCTTGTGACTTTGATATGGGCTTTTTCATCTTTACTACTTTTTTTTCCTTTTCCTTTTTAAGACGAAAACTCATCTTCAAATGCCTTCAGAACCGAACATCGACTTTAATTCTACAAGCTACGTTAAAGAGAAAATGAGTGAACCGTATATGTGACTGATCATACTTATGTCCAATATTTGCCAAAGCATCTGCCATCCTTACTGCATATGATTAGAACACCTCTTTATGTATTTACTTATCGTCTCTTTTGTCATTTGCTTAAGCCAAATGCGTATAGTCTTTTTGTGTGCATATTGTTGATGTTGGATTGGGTTGGCTTTAGTTTAGAGACTACATATCATTTGCCTAATTTTCAAAGGGTTTGGAGATGTCGCGACTAGTCATGACCTTCCCATTCTTAACTTCCCGTGATCTAATTACATTATTACATGTGTAATTTTGATCAAATTTACTGAACATGCGACCAAACAAGCATTCTCTTCTTACATTTAAAAACTCAACAACCTTATAATTTAAACTATCGCTTATATAATATTGAAAATAATAACAAAACACAAAACAATAACATGCGTCACAATATTATTGACGTTAAGGATTAGAAGGTCAAGACTGAAACATTATTTTTTCGGAGTTTTTGCAAACATCATTAGGGGATGTTTCTGTCCAAACGCAAAGGTTGAACAGAAAACCTGTTAATTGAGGTTTAGTGTATGGAATGCATTTTGACAACCATGCATGTTTCATCAGTATTATTTTAAGAGAACGCTCATTCTCAACAATAATTTCAAAATAAAATTCACTATCATTTTTCTCCCACTTCTCCCCCCCTAATTTTCTTTTAACTACAAGTGATAGTCTAAATTACTCTAAATTAAACTAATTTATAGGGAGGGATTCGAAACATTGGGTGCAAGGGGCAAGTTCACTGCCTTAGCCAACTTGCCTAACCCACGTTGATCCTTTTCGAAATCTACATTTTAATTTAAAAGAAGCTTCATCTTCCACTTTTTTATGTGACTTGGATAAATAAGTGAATTAGAAGTTAACATGATGAGAAGGCCAGCTCCTGGAAAAACATTCCTCTATGCTCAAAATTTCTAAATTCATCAAAGCTTGCACAACCTGGACTTAGTACAATAGTGTCCCCTGCAATAATGAGAAAAGAAATTAAATAAGTTCCATATCTTTGTGTAGCCAAAATTATAATATGTAGAGAAAAACTTGAAGGGGAGTTTTCAACAATGGAGGTACATTTTGGGGATCAATAGAAATCCTTGATAATTTCCACACCATATATTCTTCCTTGTGGTTCATTTTGTAATTAAAAACGGAGGAGGAAACTCAGTTATATCCAAATATAATTTCCACACCATATACTGAAACAATTTCAAAATTGAAGCAACTCTTCAAACAATGCGCCAGCAAAGCAGTGACTTTAGAAATTTCATTGGGAACCTGCTAATACGCTATCACACAATATTAAAGTTACTAAAAGGCAGCGCGGATGTGCATATAAAAGACATGGAAACAGATTTTGTGGTAGTTTATAGCAATGATGGAACATACCATGTTCTGCCAACATCCTAGCCCAGCTGACTGCGCCCTTCAGATTTACTGCTCTGATACAGGGAATGCTAAGACCATTTTCAGACAATGTCTTCTGAATCAGCGTTCCGGAAGATCCAAACTTAGAGACATTTATGAACAGATAGCATTAGTATGCCAGAAATTTGGAATTCGTTGGCAAGGCATAATTACAGATACAGGTAGACCGTAATCTGATATTGGAAAACTAATACAAAATATGAAGACATAAGCAGTGATATGTGTAAGTATAAATGAAGAGGAAAAGATGATATACAGTGATTACACATCTGTGGTACTTCAAAGGTTCAATCAATTGTTCAAAACCATTAGACTCTTGTCCATCTAACACCTGCAAAAACAAGAAAAACAATATCATGGTATGCATAAAATCATGGCCTTGGACACTTGCCATATGATGGTCCCAGAGAGATGCACAAACTCTCAATTCAAAAATCTGTAGCTCGAACCAGAAGAAAATTGTAATACATTGACATGTGTGTTTGAAATAAAATTGAAGGCCACATCCAAGAGGAAGGTACTTTGACTTCATAAAGAAAGCAGACTTACTCCATTCAAATTAATGAAATCTAATGTAATTCTTTCACTCATATATAAACCAAACCCATCACAGAATGAGAAGAGTAAAATGTTAGGAACACAAGAAATTATTGTAAAATGCTGATGGTGCAGCACCAATAGCACACACTAACCATTTTGACGTATACAATGCTTTCTTAAATAAGAATTTGACAAGCACCACAAACAGGGATTTGTCACATGAATTTTAGGTGAAACGTAACAGAATGTAAGTCAGATTCTGGATCTCAATGGAATTAAACGTACAAGTTGGATTAAACATCAACATGCACAATCCTTAGCCTATTTTTTTTTTTTTTTTTTTTTTGTTTGTTATTATAAGTGTATAAAAGGGGTGTCAGTCATTAATCTCATTCCAATCAGCTTTTCTATCTTTTCTTTCCACTTGACAATTGTGGGGAATGCAATAGCATTCTCTAAGCTTTCCATGTATGTAAAAGAAACAAAGGCAACTGAGCAAATAAGGATTAAAGCAGCATTTACGACAAGCATTTAATTGTAACCTTTGCAAGGCCCCCGAGTAGAATCAGAGACTTTTGTCTCTTTAGACCCATTAGTCCTGCGTATGTTGCTTCAACATTTGTTGCCTTACTATCATCAACCCAAGTTACTCCATGGATATCCTTGCATACTGCATAACAAACAACACTGAACGAGTGAACAAGGAATGCAAAACTCGGCTTGAATCAAGGATGGGCTATTGGTCACAAAAGGGAATCTACTCTTTTTTCTTCCAAATCTGATCCCCAGGCCCAAAAAAAAAAGTATGCTCGAAATAATTGATTTTATAATTTCCAATCAAAAGAGAATGACAAAAGAACAAAGCACTAAGCTGAATATGCTTACAGAAAACAAATAGTTCACTACTTATAGAGATGCATCTGTTTCAGCTTACCAATTTGCATACGATGAGGTGGTACCCTTAATTTTTCAATACTTGGACCAATGTCTTCAATATCAAGTCCAACATTCAGTCCAACAACAGACAGAGCAGCCACTGCAGCATTGTGATAGTTGTGTATCCCAATTGTGTTCATTGCACCCAATTGCAGTTGTGAATTGACTCCCAATGCAGGCACTTCAAAGCTTGCAATTTTTGCCTCCATATCAATCTTTCCATATATATTACCACAATTAACATCAGAGATGATACTAAATAGGCTTTTCCTAGAAAATTTCATAGTTTTTTATAAATAAAATGGCAATACTAAGTAATTCTTACTTTTACACCTGGAGTGGCTCCTATCCAAGCAAGATTAAGTTCATTCATGCTTTCCATAATTGCTTCATTCAAGTACTGGTTTCCTAAAATGGATTGCGAGAAAATCTGTTGAGACATACCGAATCTCATATAAGTAACTACATGAGTATCACCTAAATCACAGATTTATATACAGACAGAGAGTGAATGAGGATAAGGTGAGACCAACTCAAAAGGCTCTCATCATCACATCTTTTTCATTTTAAACTTGGTTCTAAAAATCGTATGCAGTATTTGATAAGGTTCATGCTTCATTTTTTAAAAAGATGTTCAATAACCAGATAGAAACATATAAAATTTGACTCACAGGGATGTAAATAGTTCTTAAACCAACAAACTGTATGGAATTAAATAGCCCATTTTTTGTTATTCATGGCACTTGAAGCAGTTATGACTTTATCTTTGGATGTAAACATCAGCACATGACAATCTACCTGAAATGAACTTGATCTACCTTGACCAACTTGCATTCCCAATCTCTGACATGAGGCCCAATGGACTTGGGAGACCATCTTATGTATCACCAAGTCCACAGCTCATTGGAATGAGAAGTCATCCCAATATCATTTTTAGTAGTAGATTTCTCAAGAAGAAAGAAAAAAGTAGAATTGTCTTGATCAAGGTTCAATCTAGGTGTCAACATCCATATGTATCTTCCAGGTTGGGATCATTTTCTTCAGGAACCTAATAATTTCCCTTTTTCTAAAAGTTAGCTATAATAAATATAAGAATTTGTTTCTCGTCAAAAAGAGAAAAATGTAAGCATTCAACCTCACACGTTGTTTCCATTCTTAAATTAATATTGCTATCAACAAAACAGGTTTAACCATTATGCCTTCGATGCAATGTCCAACCCAACCATACAAGCTCTCTTTTCTTGCATGCTGTCAACTTTTTCCTATATCTAAAAGGTAGTAAATCTTATTAAGAAAACTGGAATAGGGGAGGAAATACAAACAAGTGATGTCAGTTATAATTTCAGACAAATGCTTTAGACGCCAAGGTACATTTACCCAGAAAATGAAAAGTACATACCAAAACAAAGAAGCCCAAGCTTGGCATCAGTCATGTGAAGAAATAACCGGCATTTAGTCACTGCATAATCTCTCATTGTCCTGTGCCTTTCTAGATGATCAGGTGTAAGGTTCAACACCACAGCAACCTACAAAAAAAGCCTATAGTATTGGAAGAGGAAACTATGAAACACTACTGAAGCTGACAGGGCCAAAACAAAGCGAACTTTCAAAGCCCACTTACAGAAGGGCAGAAACATTTGTTAGGAATCTCCATTTGATAACTGCTAACCTCCACAACTGCAACCTGGAAAATGTAGCAACATCTTTATATGCCTATGACATGTCTCCTCTGGGCATCAAACACTTTCAAGTTGACCAAACAAATTCATAGTTGATCAATTATTTTCAAGTATGCTATTGCAAAAGTCACTTTCATAAATAATATGGCACCGGAAGAGAATGCAAACCAAACAATTGGACTTACCTTAAACTTGGGTTTTAAAGAATGTGGCTGTAAGCATTGGAAAGCAGCCTCTGAGAGTGGACTCCCAAGGTTACCCCCCACAAATGTCTCAATGCCAAAATGGCTAAGCATCTACCTTCAAATGAGTAAAAGAATATTAATTGATAGAATGTGGAACTCCATTTTACAACCGGATAAATTCATGATTTAAGAAAATAGATTTATCCTAGCAATTTCAAGATACTTTACATGGATACACAGCTTCTAAAGGCAACAGACAGGAAATTATGTCAATTGAAAGCAAAACAAGTTGGAAGCAATTCTAAAGACAGCTTTATCTTAAATTTTATAAATTATACACACATTTTTTTCAGTTTTAATTATTCATCCATTTTTTGGAATTTGGGTATTGGGGGAACATATTTTGGTTGATAAGTAGTGAATTTCACAAAACGTCAGCACTTCATTTTTCTCATTGGTCATTTTTCATTTGGGCTTCGATTAAGGAATTCATTCGAACAGCAATTTGGTTCAGATTATGTTGCCATCAGCAACAATATGAAACATTTGCTACTAAAATTACCATCAATAAGCATTAAAAAAAGATGTGTAACCTGTCCAGCAAAAGTGACAACAGTTGATTTTCCATTAGTCCCTGTCACTGCTAAAATCTTGATACTTTTTGGGAGAATTTCTGCAGCAAAATCCAACTCAGACATCACCTGCTTTCCCTGCATTTTGACAGGAGAAAAAAACACCAAAATGTTCACAAACAAAAAAAAACATGACAAAATCTCAAGAATAGTAGTTAGAAAGGAAGAATTGTCCACAAGGACCACAACTAAATGAGGCTGCTTATATCTCTAAGAATCATTTCCAACGCCTTTGCATTAATTCATGAAAATGGATTACAACACCAAAACACAACCAATACAAGTATGACAAAAGAATATAACGCCATATAAAGCAAATAAAATTTTTGTATTCTCAAAAGATTTAAATGCACTAACAATTAACATATAACTTATAAACACTACTACTCACCAACTGCAACAAAGAGGAAAGACCATAGTTTTGTAGGGGAACTCCAGGGGACACGACCACCCTGTCCGCATTATCAAGTAGCTCTCCATCAAATTGACCCAAAATTGTCCTCAATCCACCATTATCATTACCAAGCCTCTCAAAAATCGGATCTTGCTGCAAAAAAAAATAGCACTTTAACTACTAAAACTATGCATGACTTTCCTTGTTTATGATGTAAACCCAGTTACAAATGGGACAAATGGGTTCATGGGAATACCTCTAAAAGACCAAAATTCGGATTCTGGTCAAAGGCTAAAACTGAAGCACCTCTGGCTAGAGCAAGCCTGGCCGCAGCTCTCCCAGATTTTCCCAAACCGATAATCTGCAAAAACCAACTTTGGTTGGCGTATGGAAGTGCAATAACTCAAAACAATAAGAGAAGGGAATGAAATAGCTCACAGCGACGGATTGGCCTCGAAGGTCCTGTTTTGTAGCGCATGATCGAATGGTTTTTGGGATTTTCAGCTTTGCGGAGCCATTGGGTTTGGGACTGAGAGTTCGGATTGCATATCCTTTGTTCAAGGATTGCAGCTTCATGGCGTTTGAGCGTTTACATTTGATTGTATCTCAGTTCTTAGAGCCGTTAGATGAACCGGAAAGAGGGTTTTGTGGAGGTTTTCGTTTCCTTCTTTTTTCTTTTTCTTTTTTTTGTTGTACCTCCTTCTTTTTTTTGGAATTTTTTGTTTTTTTTCACTTTTGGGATTTTGGGACATTTTCTTTTTTCTTCATAAAAATTTGGGACATTTTTCACTTTAGAGGTTTGCTAAAAATAAAAAAATAAATTTGGGAGCTGTTATTAATACAATTATCCACTCATTGTTTATTGTTTATTTTTATTTCACTAATGCAAATTTAAAATCTAGCTTCAATTATTTTAGTATTTGAGAACTATTGAGAACCTTTTATCATTAGTAATGTGTAGATTTGGATATTTCACTATAAAATGAGACTAAGAAGAAAATATAAAAGGACTATACAATACTTTTTGAAAATGCCAACAACACCTTTAAAAAAAATAAGTAAATAAATACAAGGGGTTTGTAGCTCAAATTAGGCCTCGTTAATGGGTCGGACCGAGCTAGCCCATCCCAAATTTAATGGGCTTGAGCTGGGCTGGGTCAGAATTTAAAGAGGAGAGAGAAAATAACAGGCCGGGGTGAGCCGAGTGTTTTTGAAAATTCAAAGCCCAAGCCTAGCCCATGGGTCGGGCCTAAATGGGGCTACTTTATTTTGTCTTTTTCTTTAATATTTTTTTTTTTTGGATTCAATTTTTTTTTCTTTTTTCTTTTTTTTTTTTTTTTTTCTTTTTTTTTTCTTTCTTTTTTTTTCTATTTTACTATCTTTTCTATATTTGTATATGTCTCCATTTTTTTCCTTTTTTCTTTTCTTCATAGTTCTTCTTCTTTTTTTTCTTCCATAAATATAAAGATTTAGTTATACAACCCCATATTAATACAATCATATTTTATCTCATACTTCATTTTTTTAGTTCTTACAATGATAATAGATAATGATTTTTAGTTCTTATATATATATATTTATTTATTTATTTATTTATATGTATGTGAGCCAGGCTTTCTTGGGCTCAAACGGGACGGGCCAGGCTTTAGACACCCAAGCCCAAGCTTGGCCCACTCAACAACGGGCCAGACCCGGTTTTTTCTCAATGGGCCAGGTGGGCCCTCATTGGCTCATGGGCTTGCGGGCCTAATGATGACCCCTAGCTCAAATGATTAATAATGTTTATTCATGTAATATATAAATAAATACATAGGAGGGCATAAATATTAGGGCATGAACTTTCAACCGCCAAACCGACCAAATCGAACTGAACTAGATTAGTCAGTTTTTCATTTGTAATTCAATTTTCAGTTTTCGGTTCATAAATCGAAGCGAACCGTTGCAAATCAGCTCGATCATAATTCAATATATCCCAAATTGTCGGTTTTCCAAACCAAACCGATCAATTTGTGAGTTAGAAATTTTGCAAAAATACGCACCTTCGAGGATTTGAATCCCTGATCACATTGAAGGGCTATGACACCACTCAATTATAAACTTCTTAGCTTGAGCTAGTTCGAACTGAACTAGATCAGTCAGTTCGTCATTTGTAATTCAATTTTTAGTTTTCGGTTCATAAATCAAAGCGAACCGTTGCAAATCAGCTCGATCACGATTCGATATATCCCAAATTGTCAGTTTTCCAAACCAAACCAATCAATTTGTGAGTTAGAAATTTTGCAAAAATACGCACCTTCGAGGATTTGAACCCATGATCACATTGAAGGGCTATGACACCACTCAATTATCAACTTCTTAGCTTGAGCTAGTTCATTTTCAACTTCTGAGGCATATGAAGACTTAGCAGATTTTGAGGTATCCATATAAAATTAACATGAATAACGTTTTGTAGCCACATGCTAGATAATTCTCCTCCCACACAATTTGTTTGCAACATAGGTGCATCATGAAGCTGATAAGATGTGATATGATGCACCGATTTAGGAGTTGGGACATATATATATATATATATATGTGCTTCTTGGGTCGGATTAGGATGTGGTTTCATTTTATAGAAATAGAACCTGAATTAGATGCAAGTGGTGGTAAACTCCATGAGTAACGTTTCACCATTTATATACCGAAACAAATTTTATGACAGGAAGACCAAACCCTATGTTTTGGATGTGATTAATTGTCGTTTGAAAGTGTTTGTCATACCTTAACCAAGAGAAATTGGAACTTCACGCATGAAGTTCATGTCAATATTCTTATCCATTATGAAGTTTAACAACTTCGTCATCGCTTTTAGGGAGAAGTCATTGAGATAAGGATCTACGTCCTGCATCAGCTACAATGATTTTAGAATAAATATATTAATATTTAAAAAGAATAAAACACAACTACGCAACCGACACACACATACAAGCCACACAAGAATAAAGCACAATAAACGTAAAGCACACACAGAGAATACAAAAATTTATAGAAAAGCGAACCGTTGCAAATCAACTCGATCACTAGTATTACAGAACACCTTTGGTTAAAATGAAGAACCCTCTTAGTCTCTCACAAACTCTGGCTCTATTGTTTCTCACCTTTGCTCAAACCTAATTTGATGCTCTTGTTTTCACTCTTTTTCGCTCTTACAGAAAACTCAAGCACGAATACGCCTATTTATAGTGTATAAGACTTTAGTACAATCATACAAGGATTAGGAAACCTAAAACTCCTCAAAACCCAAGGAAAAACCATCCCAAAACGAGTAGGATTTGAGTGCACAGCGCGACAGCCTTTAGTCCACTCGATCGCCTATTGTTTTCACTTAAGCTCCAAAGAACAATCACGCGGTTTGCAACCCTTTTATTGATTTGTTCCTTCCGTTGCTTCCCCATCTTTTAGGTGAGCCAACATCAATAGTGGATAGGGTATGGAGCATAGTTGTAGTTGTCTTCATTCAATTCCTCTCTAAAATTTGTCTAATGAGGTGGTTTAGAGAGTCCATTGTGGATTGTATACAAAGTAAATTTTCTTATAGATCAGCTCCTAAGGAGGTCGTTACCGCCACTTGCATATAACTTTGGAACTATTTCGGTAGAATAAAACATCATTTTAATCCGCCCCAAGAAGCAGATATCTATGTCTTACCTCTAAATCAGCCACATCATGTCTCATCTTATCAGCTCCATGATGCACCTATTGTTTGAGCAAAATTCCGTATGGAGAATATTCACGGGTTGATTTCTCAATCTTCGATCTTTTTTCTTGATCCTTGTGAAATAAATCGGAGTAAATAGACTACACTCGAGGGATGTTTTCCAAAATCCCTTCAGTGCTAAAGTTAGATTGGACCTTGAAAAATATATGACAATAACTAAAGTGGTTGGAGTTTTCTCTCATGATAAGAGCTGGGTGGTTGGAGCTTTGTGTATATGTGGCCAGAGCCATGTAAAAGAGAGAGAAAGGGTGCGGCAAAGAGGGAAAGAGGGAGAATTTCAGCAGCAATTAGCTAGGGTTTTTCGAGTTATCTTGAATGTCTTGTGTAGCCATGTATTTATAGTGCTCCTTGTATGCTAGGGTTTTGGGAGAATAATCTGCATTTGATTAGGATTATTCTTTCCCAATTTATGATAGGAATTAATCCAAGAGATTTGGTGGAAATTGGTTTCTTGATTTAGAGAGATATTCCTTTACATAATTTTTCTAATTAAATAGAATTTAATTAGGTAGTTAGTTGACCTAAGGAAAATTCCTTTTCCACGTGTCGTCTTCTTATTGACCAATGAAATATGTGATTCCACAAATGCTCCACAGCTTCTGCATGGTGCTTGTGAGGCATGGAGGAGATGAGAAATATTCATTGGGCTTTCCAACTGCATCTGGACTTCCTTATTTGAGTTATGCACCTTTTGCGAGTCAGGCTCCTAATTGGAGTATGTTTTTGACTTCTTCTTTGAGATAAGCTCCTAATTGGAATAGGCTTGTAATTCCTTCTTAACTTAGGATGCCCAATCTTTATAAATACAAGGCTTCTCTTCACTCCTCTTCAAATTGCAAAGTTGTTTCCTCTATTTTCTAGCTTGTGAGAGAGAGATCTTGGAGGATTATACTGCTTGTCAAAGAGATGAGTTACCATGCACACCAAGGTAGGTCAAACTTTTTTTTTCTTTTGATTTTTCTTCGCAACGAAGACTAGTTGGGTGGGCTCGATTGGTTGTCATCGTGACTACGTTGGGTGGCTGGCGCGACCAGCTATGACAATGGTCTCTAGCGGCTATTGCTATGATTTTTTTTTCTGCTCGTTGTGCCTACATCATGCCAAGCCCAATGGCTGGCTATGTACGCTAGGCGCTAGCACGGGGTGTGGCAGCATGTGTTGGAGCTGGCAAAGAGTTGGCATTGTCTAGGCCATGCACCTATCAGCTACTGCCGTGGTTCAGTTGTCTTTTCCTTCTGCAACTTTGGGTTTTAACATGTTATTTGACTTGTGATTTTCTTCTCTTTTTGCAGCTATTTAGCAATCATGTCTTCCAACAAGGGTAGCTGATCACCGAGTTCACAAGTGCCCTTTGTACCTATGGTGTGGTTCCAATGTATACAAGAAAAGATTTATGGGTAATCTGCATCGTGTCACGACCGAGGCTCACTTCTAGAAGCGGCACGCCACCTATGCTTTTGCCATACTTGATAACGTGAATGTCAAGCTAGCAGAACCTTTAATTGATGACGTGCTCCGCGTGGACCTGAACGATCCGAATGCCAGGATTATCACATTTTATCCCTTCTATTTCTCATTGGGCTTCACATTCCCATTGTCGAAGTTCTTCAGTAAGGTGTTTTGCGTCAAGGAGTGTGCCCCCGACCAATGTACTACAAACAAATATTGGGCGATAATCTATTTCGAGAACCTGAACTGCTTCTTCAAGCTGGGGCTGTTTGTGTTGGAGTTATTTTACTTCTTCGAGATGAGGTGTTACGAGAAGTATGCCCAGGTTCATGTATGCAATGAGAAGCTGTTTGAAAATTTCACTCAAGGA